AAAAAAAGAGAACAAAAGAGAGATGACCCAAATAAATAAAATTAGAAATGAAAGAGGAGAATTGACACGGAAGAAATACAAAGGATTATAAAAAAAATATTATGAACAACTATATGCCAACAAATTGGACAATCTGGAAGAAATGGATAAATACCTAGAAACATACAACATTCCAAAACTGAATCAGGAAGAATCAGAGAATCTGAATAGATTACAAGAAGTGAAATTGAAGCAGTAATCAAAACACTCCAAGCAAAAACAAGTCTTGGACTGGATGGCTTCACAGGTAAATTTTACCAAACACTTAAAGAAGAACTAACAGCAATACTTCTCAAACTATTACAAAACATTCAAGAGGAAGGAAGACTCCCAAGCTTATTTTAAGAGGCTAGCATCATCCTAATTCCAAAACCAGATAAAGAGAATTATAGGCCAATATCCCTGATGAACATACATGCTAAAGTCCTCAACTAAATATTAGCAACTTGGACCCAGCAGTACATTAAAAAGGTCATACACCATGATCAAGTGGGATTTATTCTGTGGATGCAAGGTTGATACAATATCTGCAAATCAATAAACGAGATATACCACATAAACAAAATGAAGACTAAGAACCACAGAATCATATCCATAGATGCAGAAAAGCATTTAATAAAATCCAGCACCCATTTATGATAAAAACTCTCAGCAAGGTGGGAATAGAGGAAACATACTTCAACGTAATAAAGGCTATATATGACAAACCCACAGCTGACATCATACCCAATAGGCAAAAACTACAAGTGTATCCCTTAAGATCTGGAACAAGACAGGGATGTCCAGTTTCACCACTCTTATTCTACATAGTACTGGAAATCCTAGTCACAGCCATCAGACAGGAAGAAGAAATAAAAGGCATCCAAATTGGAAAGGAAGGAGTAAAACTGTCTATATTTGCAGATAACATGAGACTATATATAGAGAACCCTAAAGCTTCCACCAAAAAACTACTAGAACTGATAAACTCAGTAAAGTGGTAGGATACAAAATAAATATCCAAAAGTCAGTTGCATTTTTGTATACCAATAATGAACTATCAAAAATGGAAACTAAGAAAGCAGTATCATTTACAATTGCATAAAAAAAGACTCAGGAATAAATTTAACCAAGGTTGTAAAAGACTTATAAAATTATAAGGCATTGAAGAAAGAAGTTGAAGAAGATGCAAATAAGTGGAAACATATACCGTGTTCATGGATAGTAAGAATTAATATCATTAAAATGTCCGTATAACCTAAAACAACCTATAGATTCAGCACAATTCCAATGGAGTATTTCACAGAACTAGAACAAATATTCAAGAAATTTATATGGAACTACAAAAGACCTTGAATAGCTACTGTAATCTTGAGGGGAAAAACAACAAAGTTGGAGGAATTACGCTATAGATACCAAACTATACTACAAGGCCATAGTAATCAAAACAGCATGATACTAGCATAAAAACAGACATATATATCAATGAAATGGAATGAAGAGCCCAGAAATCAACCCATGCTTTTATAGTCAATATTTGACAAAGGAGGCAAGAACATACAATGGAGTAAAGATAGTTTAATCAATAAATGATGTTGGAAAAATTGGACAGACACGTGTAAAAAGAGTGAAAGTAGACCACCTTCTTACACCACACATGAGAATAAGCTCAAAATGGATTAAAGACTTAAATGTAAGTTGTAAAACTATAAAAATCTTAGAAAACATAGGCAGTAAAATCTTGGACATTTCTTGTAGCAATATTTTTTCTGATATATTTCCTCAGGCAAGGGAAACAATAGAAAAAGTAAAATGGGACTATATCAATCTAAAGGCTTTTGCACAGCAAAGGAAACCAACAGAATGAAAAGACAACCCATTGAATGGGAGAACGTTTGCCGTTGATACATCTGATAAGGGGTTAATTTTCAAAATGTATAAAGAACTTATAAAACTCAGCACCAAAACCAAAATCCAGTTAAAAAATAGGCAAAGGACCTGAATAGACACTTCTTCAGAGAGTACATACAGATGGCCAGTAGACATATGAAAAGATGTTCAGTGTTACTAATCATCTGAAAAATGCAAATTAAAACCACAGTGAGGTATCACTTCACACCTGTCAGAATGGCTATCATCAATAAATCTACAAACAAGTGTTGGTTAGTATGTGGAAAAAAGGGAACCCTCATACACTGTTGGTGGGAATGCATATTGGTGCAACTACTGTGGTAAGCAGTATACATTGTATAATTCTGTTAAACAGTGTTACCTCAAAAAATTTTTAAAAAATTGGCTTTTTAAAAGTTTTTTGGCATATTTAAGGTCACTAGCTTATGTCCCAGCAATTCCATTTCTGGGAATTTATTTGATGAAACCCAAAACACTAATTTAAAAGAATATGTGCACTCCTATGTTCATTGCAGCGTTACTTACAATAGCCAAGATTTGGAAACAGCCCAAGTGTCCATCAGTAGATGAGTGGATTAAATAAACTGTGGTACATTTGCACAATAAATACTACTTGTCCCTAAAAAAAGGAAATCTTACCCTTTGGGACAGCATGGATGGACCTGGAGAGCATTATGTTAAGTGAAATAAGCCAGTCAAAGAAAGACAAGTACCATGATTTCATTCATATATGGAATCTAATGAACAAGCAAAATAGAGACAGACTCATAGCAGGCTGACAGCTGTTAGGGGGAGCAGGTTGGGTGGCTAGCTTGGTGGGTGGGGGTGGAGGGATTGAGCAAAAAAAAAGGAAAAATAAAGAAAAAACTCATGGACATGGACAACAGTGTGGTGGTTGCCAAGAGGAGGTGGGGTGGGGGGAGTTGGAGGAGTATATAGGGGGGATAAATGGTGATGGAAGGAGACTTCACTGGAGGTGGTGAACAAACATAGTACAGTGTACAGGTAATGTGTTGCAGAATTGTGCTCCTGAAACTTGTATAATTTTGTTAATTAGTGTCACCCCAATAAATTAAATAAAAGGGAAAACATTAAAAATTTATTGAAATAATGAAAAATTTCAGCAAAAAACTAAAAATGAACAAAAAACCCAATGGAAATTCTAAAATTGAAAAATATAACAGAAATTAAGAATTTGATGGTTTTAGATCTAGATGGCATGCCATTAGAAAACAGAATGAACCAGTAAGAAAGAAAAGGATAGAAAATACAGAAAAGAGCATAAGAGACATAGGCGATGCATTAAAAAGGTCTAACATGATATCTCAGAAAGAGAAAAAAATGAAAGTGAAATTGGGATAACAATGGCAGAGAATTTTCTAAATACACAGGATATCAAACAACAAATTCAATAAGCCCCGTAATTAGAGCAGGACAAATAAAGTCCTGTTAACTTCAAAGAAGCAACAATAAAAATGACAGCTCATTTCTCATTGGGAACAGTTGAAATCAGAAGACAGTGGAATGTTTTGAAACAGAGTAAGTGCCAACCTAGAATGATGGTACTCAGTGAAAATAGGTAACAGTAAAGTGAAGACAATACCTAAGAGAATAGTCAAACATGGAGTTGTCAAGGGAGAATAAAATTCTCCCTTAATTTGGAATTATGGTTTAAAATTTAATTCTAATTTTTATAGTGACATTTTTTTAAATTTATTTTTTTCATATATCTTTCTTGATTTCAGAGAGAGGAAGGGAGAGGGAGAGAGAGAGAGAAACATCAATGATGAGAGAGTCATTGATCGGCTGCCTCCTGCACACCCCCAGCTGGGGATCAAGCCCGCAACCCAGGCAATTTACCCTGATGGGGAATAGAACCGAGATCCCCTAGATCCTAGGCTGATGCTCAACCGCAGCCACACCCGGCCAGGCTAATTCTATTTCTTTATTACTGTGTCATCAAAATTCATTTAAAATGGTGGTTTTACATATCAACAAATGTTTAAGTACTTGGAATCAATTGTAGTGGTAATTCTTTAAAAACATACTTATTGAGCATTCAGTCTGCCTGCCATGTCTGTGTTAGGTGAGAGCAATATAGTGATAAGCAAACACAGAGATAGTGTCTTTTTTCTAAAACTTACAAAGTAATAGGTGTTGGGCTGGAGACAGAAATTAATCAAATAACTACACAATAAGCTGTAAGGTTACTCTATGTAAGTACATGGGTACATGGTTCTGTGAGGTGGTATAATGGATGAATTGACCTCTAAGATGTTAATTAGATCAGGAGAGGTAGTATCAGCATGTCTCTGGTAGGAGACAGACTGTGTGTTGGAGGATTGGAAAAAAGTCCTGTGTAGCTGTACACAGAGAGCAGAGTAGGGTAATGCAGTAGTGGGTGGGGTCTCTGTGAAGTAATATAGAATGGGAAGAAACTGGACAGGTAAGTAGAGTCTGCAGTACTGATTTGGTGGCACATACAAGATTTAGGGCTTTATCCTTAGAGCAATAGGAAGTCATTGAAATACATTATACAGGTGGGTAATATTTTCAAGTTTGTAATTTGAAAAGATTGCAGTATAGCAAATAAAGACCAGTAGTGGATATGGATAGATTATATTGCTCTTATTGCAGTACTCTAGGTAATAAGTGATGGTAGCTTGGGCTAATGTGATGGGGCCAGAGATAATAGGCAGGTTCCTTAGGTATTTAGGAAACAGATTTGACAGGGCTAGGTGATACATTGGGTTTATAGAGGTGAGGTGGAAGTAGGTATCAAAGTATTATAAACTGTAAGACTTGCTTTATATTCAGCTAATTACATATTAAAAGGTATGTTTTGAAAGTGTTTAAAAGTGAAAGAATTGCTTGAGTAAGTAATAAGTCATCTATGCAGTAGATGTTATGAGGCTGAAAGTGATATTTAAGAAGAATTTTTAATGGCATGGGAAAATTCCTATGGTGTTACATAATAAACAGAATATGAAATTGTTTATAATGTGTACTGTATAAAATTGTATTAATGAAGCATGATAATGGTTAGAAATGACTTTCTTTTTGACATATAGACACTTAAAGAAGAACATGCTGTTAATGGTCCGGAACTCTTGAGGAAAAAACGTACAACTTTAGCTGAAAAAAATACTTGTCAGCTTTATATTCAAACTGATCATCTGTTCTTTAAATATTATGGAACACGAGAAGCTGTGATTGCCCAGGTATTTATAATTTTCCTCTACTATTTTAGGAGTTCTTGTATCATAGCTATATTTTCCTCTAAAAATTAAAGTTAACACATACTTCATTTAGGAAAAATAAAGAGTATGTATTTTCAATTGTGATACGATAACCACACTGATAACTGAAAGACCAGTTAGGGTATTTCAGTGTCATTCAGAAAAAAGGAGTAAGAAAATGATTTTAGGAAGGAGATGACGCTGGAGCGTAGCTTTGAAAGAGGACCAAGTTCTCCTCTATGGTCTGAACAGAGGGCTGTGCGGGAATAGAACCGCGATCTCCTGGATCCTAGGCTGACGCTCAGCAGGAAGTGTTTAAGCTCTGTTCTGTGTACCCATTGTACTTAGCACTTTCTAAGTGACATTATTATTTGCATTTGTGCCTTCTCAATCCTTATTAAAGTGTAAAGTCTTTAGATAGACCCTTCAATATGTTCTTCATATTGAAGGTATACAGTGAGAGTTTGATGGATACATTTTGACTTGAAGGATTTGAAACTGAGAGGAGGAACATGCCACTAGTATAACTGGTGAACTCATTTTGGTGGTGGTGATAAACTAGGATATTGAAAATGTGGAACTGGAACTTGGGAGAGGTTTGGGCTTTCTGCATGGAATTTATGGGTATAAAAGACATAGTTAAAATAAGGACAGAGAATGAAATCAAAAAGGAAGAAACTGGGAGATAATATCTGTATATAGTGAATAGGATGAGGGAGAGAAGCTATTGGCTAAAACATAATAGTTAGAGAGGTAAGATTAAATAATTAACCAAGGAAGAAACAAAGTTTCAAAACAAAATACATAGTAATATCATTTTACAGAGATATCAAAGACAATGATTATTTGTGTTAGATGGCAGGAATTCTCAGTGTATACATATATCAAATCATCCTGATGTACACTTTAAATATCTTCCAATTTAATTTATTAATTGTACCCCAATAATGCTGGAAAAAAGTAGAATGACTACAAAAGGTAGTTGATTTCTAGTTACTAGAAGATTATTGATGAACTTTAGGCAAGCTCTCAATAAAATTGTGAGGGTGAAAACATTGCAAACAGTAAGGAATGGGTTTGCAGTGAGATTCTGAGAAATGTGAAAAACAAAAAAATATGGTGGCCTACAATAATATGGAATATTTGGGAGTAAAAGGGGGATAGGGGTTACAAGAGAAGTTTGTTGGAAGAGGAAAATGATCCAGTAGAGAAGCAGTGTAAGATATAAGAGAAAGGAAAATTGATGTGAAAAATGTCCTTGAAGATCCAGGAAGGACTTGGGTCAGGAATAAAGAAAAGTTACCCTTTAAGAAAGGTATAAGCAGATAAAGATGGGAAGTCAAGATGAACTCTCAGTAAAGTATGAAGTATAATCATCTGTGGAGAAATGTTTGAACCACCACTGTTGAGAATGGAGTAGAGGATTGCTAGGCCAAACTGAGGTTAGACAGCATGAAATTTTAATGTAACCTGTCAGCACTGTTATGACTTAATCAGTGTTTGGCTACCTGGGTTACTTTTGAAATTAATGCTTCTACTTGACTATCTTATGTTTATATAATTTCTTTGAAAATAGTATACATACAGGATTTCCCCCAAAATGTATATACACTTTGAATAATTATAAAGGCAGTGTTTATTAAAATACATTTCATTTTCAAAATGTAATAGAATCTACAGACATTATGTGTATACATTTTTTTGGGATACCCTATATGTGTATATACTATAATATATACATATATATATATATACATACATACATACATACATACATATATATGTATATATATATAAAATGTTTTCACATAAATGGTAGCAAGTGCTTTTTGTAAGTGAAGATGGGAAGGTTGTATACAGAGTGGTTTAGAAGCCAGAGTTTAATCTGTAGTCAGGTAGGTAAACAGGATTATTTTGTATTCTGTTACCATGTTAAACTCTTTCTAGAATTTAGCAAAATCTGAACATTTTATTTACATTTTTATTACTCCTCCTGACCCTGGTAAATAAACTCTGTAAATTTATAGGGACCTTTTCTATTTTGTTCACTATTATATCCCCAGCACCTAAAACAGTACCTAGTATATAATAAGTATCAACAAAACAAAAACATAAAAATAAATTTGAAAAAAAGGGTGAACCCCCCCCCCAAAAAAAAAAACATACAGAATGTGACTAGTGCAGCAATAGAAAGATCAAAGTCAGAGAATGACTGACTGTCCTGATACTATCAGGGAAGTTCTCAGAGATGTTTGAGCTGAGCTGAGTCTGAAGAAGAATACCCTAGGCATAAGGAAAAGCAATGTGAAAAGGCATAAAGGTATCAGAATGGATTGAGAAAGCAAAGTTTTATATGGTTGAGAAGAGTGCATGTTTGGTTTGGATCAGAGAGGAGTCTGGAAAAGCTCAGAATCTTCCCTTTTAGCGCCAGCTCACTAATCTGTTTCATTCTTTCATCTTGAATATGATGTAGACATTTTAAAATTTGAATGTGATGGAACATGAATAATTCCTGATTTGGGAGATGGAAATTCAGTCTTTCTCACATTTTAACATTGTGTCTAATATGTTTTCTTTTTTTGAATCTGTAGATATCCAGTCATGTTAAAGCGATTGATACAATTTATCAGACCACAGACTTTTCGGGAATCCGTAACATCAGTTTCATGGTGAAACGCATAAGGGTAAGGAGTTTTAATAGTTAAGAACGTTAAAAAAGAGAAACAATAAGGACCATGTTTACACGGTTAAATTGTATTTACTGATGCAGTTTATCTTTACTCTTGGCTCTTATACACATATTTGGGCACACAGAGGGGATACCTAGTTTATGACTTAAGAATAAAACCTATAGGACTTTAATCTGGGCTGCAAAATAGGTATGGCAGTACTATTTTCTATCTATCTGATTAGCATTCCAGTTAGAAAGCCCTAATCTTTCAATAATTGCAGATACAGTACTTGACATTTTCCCCCCTGGTATTACTCCCCAGTTTTTTAAGATTTGCCTTGTGTGGTGTATTTCAGTGTGTTCCAGCAGAGGGAAAGATAGATACGTAGATAGTGGTTACATAAAATTGGAAGTTGGAAAAATACTTAATACTGTATACCATCTTTTTGAAAATCTACAGAGCATACTAACATATCTCAGGTTTTGAGAAGGCCTTCAGGAAAGAAACCCGTATTTTTCTAAACAAATTTGACCATTAAACTTTTTTTGTATTAACATCAACTGAGACTCCAAAGAGTTGCAGACACATATTGAGAAATGCTGATCCAGAGCCACTGATTATTAATTGTAATCTTATAAATTGCAAATAAGTAATTACTCTATTACTAACAAAGTTGGGCTAATTGTTTCAGAAATTTTCTACATATGAATTCTTTCAATGTGTATAGCTTTTAAGAATCTATTGTGTTTGTTTTGTTAATCCTCACCGGAGGATATTTTTTCCATTGCTTTTTAGAGAGAGTAGAAGGGAGGAGGGGGGCATTGATTGGTTGCCTCCTGCACATGCCCCAACCAGGGCCAGGGATGAACCTGCAACCCAGGTATGTGCCCTTTACCGGGAATCAAACCTGGGATCCCTGGGTGCTCTAACCACTGATCAACACAGGCCAGGGCAAGAATCTTGATTTGTAAACTAGATAAACAACCTGAGGTTAAAAAAAATCATCTTATAAAAGTATTTGCCATAGGGTTTCTTTATATTTGTGCTCTTATTTTTCTTAAAATATGATTGACTAGAGTATAATTTTAGTACATACATGTAATATATCTAATAACATAGCTGAAGATGGTTCTTTTAGAAGTAGTATGATTAAATATTAAATTGGGTTATTTTAAGGTGAAATGTGGTTTATAGAAATACAATATAAGAACTATTTATAATTTCTTTCATGTATTTTGAGACTAATATAAACTTTAAATGAGCAAGTAAAAGTAATAACTCGTGTAAGTATTACTGTTTAGTAGGCAGAGCAATAAAATTCAAAAGAGTGAAAAGTAGAGACCACCTGAACAAATTTTAATGAAGCACTTTTTTTGAGTAAAATAATTTGCATTTTGAAGAAATGCATGTACTATATAAGTAGGTAATGTGGTAGTTGTTTGTTTTTTGGTCTTTAACTGGGATGAAAACTAGTTTAAGTCTTAACTGTTGAAGATTATTTGTGACTCATCAAATAATTATAAATTTATATTAGCAAATATTTAAATATTAATCATCTCATTTTTAATATAGGTAACTAAAATTTAGATACAATTTTTATTTGTAGCCAACATTACAGAAGTATCAGGGAATTTCATTCCTATATTTAGTGGAGAAAAAGCCATCTACAGCATGTCTCTGAGCATGGGTTATTTATAATATGTAGTGTGCTTGTTTTTGGATTTTTTTTTGGTGTAAAATAAAAATCTTTTGTGTAGATGACCATAACTGATTTTTGTTTGTTTGTTGATGGATAAATGAGATGTTCTGAAGTCTATCCTTAGGCGCTTGCCGTTCTGCTTCTAAGCCCCTTGGTTTTACTGAAGGGTGTGGATCCTAAAAAGACCAGTAGTTCTTATTTTATGTATTTTACTATTGACATTTTCAGTAGACTGAGGTTTGCCTTATAAAAAATACTTGCTTTCATACATACCCCTTTTTACTCTCTAGCAACAATATTGTATGTAATTCTATGACTTACTTTAGGAAAGCCAGATTGTTTTAGGACTTCAAAGGACAGATAGGGTCTCTGAAATGAAGCAGGGGCTGATAAATGAAAGCTTTTGCTTAGCAGGAGTTTGTTACCAGAACCTCATTATTCTTCAGATTATGAAGGAGGAACTTGTACCAGGAGTACAGTAGCTTAAGTGTCAAAAGAAACATTCTAGAGGAATTCAGCCTGAAATAGTAAGGGAAACGAATTGGCAGTAAAAAAAAATAAATTTTTTTTTTCTTGCCATATCCAGGGGAAAAAATTGAACTTGCAAGGAGAACCAAGAAATTGAGTTCAATATTTGTTTTATGTTTTAGTAATTAGCTGAAATACAGAGTTTTATGTTTTTATACTTGTCAGGATATATAGGATATTAACACTAAAAGAGACTTGCTCAGAAGACTAAATTTGAGAAATTGAACTTACTTTATTAGAAGTTTTGAAAGCAGAACTTGTTTTTCCATTTCTTGTTCAGTGTTCAGGAATCTGGTGAATACTTGCTCAGAAATGTAACATATTCTACCTTGCCTTTTTTCTTTCTTTCTTTTTGGCTTCTGTAATCAGCTCAGGGATTTGGGGGCAGTGGGTACAACCGTAGACGCCTTAATTGAGGCCTGATTTCCCTGGGGTCCCAAACATATTGTTCAGGCAGATTCAGAAGGAGGTGAACAGAGAGTTACACAAAGGCTCTACTAACATTAATTGTTTTTGGATTTCAGATCAATACAACTGCTGATGAGAAGGACCCCACAAATCCCTTCCGTTTTCCAAATATTGGTGTGGAGAAGTTCCTGGAATTGAATTCTGAGCAGAATCATGATGACTACTGTTTGGCCTATGTCTTCACAGACCGAGATTTTGATGATGGTGTTCTTGGTCTGGCTTGGGTTGGAGCACCTTCAGGTAGTTTATCTAACTATGTCTTGATGTAATACTTGAAACAAAAATTAGTTTTCAGGGCAGACTGAATTTTACAAAGTATAGAAAAAAGTGATGCCTGTACAAGATTCATTAGCATGATTTAAATGGAAAAATAAATGAAGCAGTTATTTATTTTTTAGAGAGAGTGGAAGGGAGAGGTAAGGGGGGAGAGGAAGAGAGGAAAGAGAGAAACAGTGACGTGACAGAGACACATAGATTGGTTGCCTCCCACGTGCATCCCAACTGACCAGAGGTGGGGATCAGACCTGTACCCCAGGTTCATGCCCTTGACTAGGAATCAAACCCCTGACCCCTCTGGTGCTCAGGTGATGCTCTAACCACTGAGCAATGCCAGCCAGGGCAAAGCAGCTTTTTATTTTGAAATGAGTACCAATAGGGAGATATCCTGACATTTGATACATTCAGTAGCTGAAATAAATAATTTTATGGGAAAAAGTGGTAGTCATTTCTGAAACCAAAAGCAAAATATTATTTTTCCACAAAAGTTAATTTTGGAAATTATTTAAAAAAAATGTTTAAGAGAATGTTTTAGAGACAAGAGGGGAAAACTATGTTCTTGCTTCTGTTTTATAGTGAAATAGAAAAGAGTAACCCTGGTCAGGAGCAGCAGGTAGAAAGAAAAGGAATCCTGCCTTTATTATTATTTTTTCTAGTCATTATTATTTTTTAAAAAAATCTTCACCCAAGGATATGTTTATTGATTTTAGAGAGAGGAAGGGTGAGAGAGAGAGGACAAAGAAACATCCATCAGTTTCCTCTTGTACATACCCTGATCAGGGATCGAACCTGCAACCTAGGTGCCCTAACTGGGAATCAAACCTGAAACCTTTTTGGTGCATGGGACGGCGCTCCAACCAACTGAGCAACCTGGCCAGGTCTTTTCTAGTCATTATTTTAACAAAAGTGAAGATGTAGGCAGGAGGCCCCAGTACCCACAACTCCACTGGCCTCACTCTGGGGTCTCTGCCTTAGTCATGAAAGCTAGTCATTGAGAAAGCTAGGATAGGATAATCCCCTGCCCATCAC